CCTCGGTAGTACTGGGGGCCCCCTCGGTAGTACTGGGGGCCTCCTCTGTAGTGGTGGGGGCCCCTTCGGTAGTGGTGGGGGCCCCCTCGGTAGTACTGGGGGCCCCCTCGGCAGTACTGGGGGGCCCCTGGGTAGTGTTGGCGGCCCCCGGGGCAGCGCTGGGGGCCCCCTGGGTAGTGTTGGGGGCCCCCTGGGTGCCCGTGTTGGGTCTCTTTTTGGGGTTTGGGGGGCCCCCGAGGGGGGAGTTGTGCGGCACGGACTGGTACATGACGTGCTGGCCGCACTCGGCGCATGCGTGGTAGTACTGGGTCTCGAGGCCCCTGAGGCGCTTGAGGCGGTGGGGCTGGTCCACTGGTCTCGTGTTGGTGCGAATGGTCCACTGGTCCGGACACAGGACCGGGGCGTTGTCCGTGCGTCTCCGCGGGAGCTTGTCGAGCTCGGCGTCAGTTATAATGACGCAGGAGAGGCAGCGGCGGCAGCGGATCACGCGGAACTTGTCCTCCATGACGTACTTGTTCACGTTCGTGAACACCCGGCTCGTGTACTTCTTCTTGTTGAACCGGTGCGCCCGCTCCGCCTCCGTCTCCCGCTCCCTTCCGGGCCCATTTCCCTGAGACATTTCCAAAAACGCGCCTTTTCCGCGAAAAAAATTCAAAAAACTCCGAAAAACTCCACAGAAAACCCAAAAGCTGCACAGGAGGAGGCGGAACTGGAAACCCAACGCGCCCGCGCCAACGCCGCAGAACCCGTGCCTCCGGAGCCCCCAAACGGATCAAAAACACTCAAAATGCAAATTAATTCTTTTCGAAACCGAAAGAAACGAAGAAAGCTACTTGGCAATTGCAAATGACAGAAGCGTCCGGAAGCCGCGCGGGGAAGCGCAAGCGCGCACCGGGGGAGCTGTAGATACACCCCAGCAAACGCCACTCGACGAACGAAATTCAAGAACGCAAAACGCCGAAAAAAGTTCATTTCCGATTTAATTTCCTTTTTTACTTCCACAAGTGCGCCGCGGCGAACGCATGCAGCGCCGCGTGTTCCCAAGCCAACCAGCCAGCGCGGTGGCGGCTGCCAGCCCCAGGGAAGGCCTCCACGGGCGCGCGCAGAGATCCTCTCAGCGCAATTCGCCAATATTTAATTCTTTTTAGTCCAATTAAACACAGAGAAGACACAGAACTTCACAAACTGCTGCTGCAGCAGCCCCGAAGTTCCCCCGGGGGGTCGCTGCGGGGGGCTGGGCCGTTTCGCCGCTGCCGGGCTGCCTCGGGCTCCGCTGCGGTGTCTGTACACCTCAGCGCTCCCCAGCACGCCGCCCCCGCGGACCCCTCGCCTCTGCTGCTGCCACTTCTTTGCTTCTGCAGCAAACGTTGCCCTTTTCTCCCCCCGAGCTGCTGCTGCGTCTTCGCGGCAGCCGGCGCCCCAGCGCGCCCGTTCTGCAGCGTACGTACACCCCAGAAAGCTCGCCGCTCCTGCTGCCGCGGCCGGGTGTACAGACAGCTAACGCCGCAGCCACAGGGGCCGCCGCAGGTCCCAAGAGCTCCACTTCATTTCTTTTCCTCAACAGCAGCAGCAGCAGCAGCAGCAGCGGAAGATGAAGAAGGTTTTGTACTTTTACGATGGTACGGGATGTACAGGCACCTCAAATGGGCCCCCCATAGTTTCTTTTTTAATTTCTGCAGTCGAGTTGGAGTGTACAGACAGCTCAGTCGCATGCGGCCTCCTCCACTTTGCATGCAGAAAAATCTTCTGCCAGAAATATTAATTTAATTCATTTAATTGCAAGTTTGTTTATAAGTGCATTTATGAGCATTCATTTACAACCAGTTCTGTTTCTTTTTCCTCAATGAACTCATAAAATGCACCCCAGACTCGCCGCAGCTGCTGCTGCTGCTGCTGCTGCTGCAGAGGAGGTGGGCAATTTCTTTTACGGGCCTGGCCACCCAATGAAGCCGCACCGAGTTCGAATGACTCATGACCTTTTGCGTTCTTATGGCCTTCTGGACTCTCTTGAACTCATGGTCAGTCTCCTCGAGTGTACGTACACCTGAACGCCTCAGCTGTACCTACACCCCACGCGCTCAGCTGTACGTACACCCCAGATGCTCAGCTGTACGTACACCCGAAGTGCTCGGGTGTTCGTACACCTGAGGTGTTCAGGTGTACATACACCTGAACACCTCAGGTGTACGAACACCTGGTGTACATACACCCAAGGTGCTCAGGTGTCTGTACACCCGAGGTGTTCAGTGTCTGTACACCCTAGATGCTGAGGTGTCCGCACAGCTGGCTGGTGTGAGTGTCTTGTGCGTCTTTGGGGTGTACGTACACCTGAGGGGGCGGGGCGTTGTTTGGGGCGAGGACAGCGGCTTGCTTGTGGGGTGTCTGTACAGCTGCCGCCGCACCCCACAGTCGAGGCTTTGACGCGCTTCCACGCAGATGATTACATTTCTTTTCTCCGCTCCACTGGAGAAGTCTTCGGGCCCCCTGCTGCTGCGCTGCTCGCCCCCCAGCCAGAGCCCCCAGCAACAGCAGCAGCAGCAGCAGCAGCAGCAGCAGCTGGGGGGGGGT